AAGCTATTTATAGGTATCTATTTCTATAGAATCCTAATATTTTAGAACATTGCAAAGAATGAATTCTCTAGTACAAGGAAGGGTAAAAGCTAAAGTTTATATAGTTTTTACAACATGTATAAAAGGTATAAAAAGTACTAAACGTATAAAAGGTATAAAGAGTACAAAAGGTACAAAAGGTATGAAAGATACAAAAGGTATAAAAAGTACAAAAGATATGAAAGGTACAAAAGGTATTATCTAGCTAACCGATAGTCTGTTTGTCTTGTATTATAGCTTGTTTTGATCATTTTAATCTTCTGGATCTAATAGAAATAAAATCTCTAATATGTTCTATAATATTAATACATTCTATAACAGTATATTGAATTTTTATATAGTAAACAAAAAAGTGCTTTTAATAAAACTTTTTAATACTTTTTTTATTTTTTTTATTTTGGCAGTCTTGCCTTCACTTTATTAGGCTTTGTAATAATTATCTAAACTATTAAAATTTTCTACAGAGTTATACTCTATAGTACCTAAATTACAAGTAGAGACTCACCCGGTTGCTTATTGAGTACTTATGTGCAATCTGCTATAGTAAAATTTGCCTCTGTATTATTTTATCCTGCAATTGGCTTCAATAATATATCACCAGCTGGATCTTACTGCCCATCAAGACTACAAATTCATTTTCCACCAATCTGTCCATTGTCCTTCTTCAATCTACCTTAAAACCTCTTTTTTAGTTATTTCTAAGATTAAACCCCATCTTTTATCCTCTTTTTTATTTTTATCTTTCTCTTTTTTTCTAATATGTTTATCTGGTGGTTTCTTCTTTTTCTTTTGCTTTCTTGCCTTTTTATATGATCTTCTTTTATCTTTTGGCGTAATTCTACTTTCTTTCTCTCATTCCTGCACTAGTTTGCATCTTGCAACCCATATTCTCTTGTATACTTCTTTTATCCAATTCTTCCAAAGTCTACCAAGAAATTTCTTTGCTTGATTATTTAAGTTGAAAAAAGGTTTCAACTCATCGAAGTCTTCTTTTGTAATTAGGCCTCTAATTTATCTTTCTCTTCTACGCAATTCTTCAATTTGAGATCCTTTTCTTAACATTGTTAAGACTTTTTCTTTAGTTGTCTTCATGCTTTCTATCTTTTTTAGTTTGAACAGAGTTGCTTCTACTACTTGCTCCTCTAGATCGTGGAGAAAGTTCAGGAAGGTTTCACAGCTCACCAGATATTCTACATTTTCCTTTTTTTTTTTTACATATAACATATTTGTCTGTCTTGTATGTTTTCGGCCTTCTCTAGTTGAGTTTTTCAAATACTAGAAACATGTTGTTTATATACTTTGTTTCAAAGAGCTATATTGTATTTGATTTAAAAGTATGATTTCATTGTCTAGTTTTACTCCTCATTATATTATACAGTATGGACCAGGATTGAGTACTCTTTCCTTCTTGATACGTTTCATCATATGTATTATACAGGAAAGCCTATTCTGCTTTTAATAGCACTCTCTCTAACATTTTGACAAAAGAATGAATAGGCTTTTTAACTAGTTTATCCTCCCAAGTGTATTTTATTTTGTGGCCTTTCATATATAATGTTTTCAGGTTTAGATACTCTTTTGACTTGGAACCTTCTTTTGCTTTCAAATCTGCAAGATTATTGAATATATTGCCTAAGTGATCCTTGATCTTTATAAAGTATGTATTTAGCTCCTTTGTCTTAATCACCTCTATAATTGTTGTTACCAAACCACAATTCTTAGTCTTCAACCAAGATTTTATCTTGTTTGTCTCTAGACCTCTTTTGATTGCCAATATTGCTGCTTTACTATTCATTCTTATCTCTACTTTTCTTTTCTAGGGTGTAGTTAGTAATACAAGTAATATTACTATGTGTAGTTAGTAATGCAAGTAATATTACTACTATTTCTGCTCTTGTAGATAAGAACTACCTTTTTGTCACACATGATATTTGTTGCAAAATCTGACCTGTTTCTGTGGTTTGAACTACTCCACATCCCATTACTAATTTATCTTCCATCTCAACATTACCGAGTGAGCCATCTGTATAAAAAAATAGTCTATCTAGTTCTCTATTTTGTTTTAAACTTTCTGCTATTCTAGATCTAATTATATTATCCTATTAACTAAAACTATTTTTTAATATTCGCACTCTATATCTATTTTACCCTTCTCTTTTATTCTTTTCATTTCTTTTGCTCTAACAAGCACTTTTTCTTTTTTTTTTTTTTTACCGACTACCTCTTCTATATGTCTTTTTTCAAAAATTAACTTTGTCCTCTTTTCTGATTTCTGAACTATGTTTGAAATATTTCTAAGTTTTCTATGTTTAATCATGTAAGTTTCACTTTTTTCATCAATTTCTAATAATTGCTATATTTCGTTTTCGTGACAATATGTTGTTTTCTTGTATTTTTCAACTTCTATATAAGTATTTTCTTTTTCTTTAACCTTTTCTACGTTGAGTGTTTCATTTGCTTCATCTCTCCAACAAATCTATTCTTTTACTTTTTTGTTAGTGCTTGGTTCTTTTGTTTCTAAGCTAAATGCATTAATATTATTTGCTTTACAGTTATATCTATTTTTGACTACTCATGTAAAAGAATTTTCTAGCATTTCTCTTTCTAATTTAGTGAACCAGCCTGCTTTTCTTCTCTTTAAACCTTTGCTACTTGCTAATTTGACTTAATTCCATGTATGTATTGTTTTGCCATCCTTTGCAATAAGTTGTGAAACCAAAATTAGACCCAGGCTGCTCGCTTTCGTTTTCTTATAAGCCATGTTTAAACACTCAAAGACATATGCAATTTTTTTATCATTCGCTATTTGTATAACAGTCGGCCGACATGTCATACAAAATTGATCTACTATAAATTTTTAAAATTTTTTATTATATAGATAATAAGTTATACAATAAAATAGTTTGAATTTTATTAATATATATATATTATATTTTTTAAAAACTTTATTCTACCCGCTTTATACTATAGAACCGTGGTTTATTTGACCATTTTTGTGAGATCTCTTGTTGAACGATTTGTGTCTCAAGATTAGTAGAGAGTTTTGCTTCCCACCCAAAATTATTTTCGAATATAAACACAGAGCGAATAAAAGGTATTTGAGAAGGTTGTGCCAAGCATAAGCTTCAAAAAAAAATATTTTTTTATCGGGTATTACTTTACAAATCTAGGGAAACATAACATATAAAAGAAGATCGCTCTCTATATACAAGGTAAAGTTTATAAAACATCTTTTTAAGTCAACTTTAATCAAATTTATTAATAAAAAAAACAACTTTTTATCACTAGAACAATTATTATATACTTGTTATTAGAGCTTGGTCATAAATTCTCTACTTGATTTCTTCCATACTTCGCTTTTTACTTTTAGCTGCCTTTCTTCCAACATAGTAAGGTACCAAATCCTTTGATCTTCATCCTCTTGTATTATGTTTTTTTATTTTTAAAATATCTTGTTTAACAATCTTCATGATTCTAACTACCCCTTTATTATAACAATTAAATATGTGTTTATATCCAGCAGGTGTTAGTTGACTAGAGATCTCAAACAGTGGGTGCTTTTTAGGTTCATTAGAGGTAATTGCTTTATAAAGTGTATTTACTAGCTTCCATAATGCCTCTTTACAATTATTCTTTGTATGCATGGTTTTACTTAAACAGGTATCAGTTACGTATTCCGCATACAATACCATCAATCGATCTCTTTCATTTTGGGCTGCTTTAATTACTAATTTTAAGTTGTCTATGTCGGTTGGACGTCCAGTCATATTTTGTTTGACAAATTTTATGCCAAAATACTCAAGTGCTTCATAAAATCCAAAGAAATTTTCATCTGCAGTAAGATTTATAGATCCAACCGCTTGAAGTTTTGCTTTTAGTATTGAGTTTGTTTCTATTGTCATTAAGAAACGTGGTACTGATTCTGCATATCTACTTTTTCCAGTGATGGGAAATAGCGGAGCAAAAGCTTTCAAATATTCATGTTGAACTTCGAAATTACCCATTCGAATGCCAATTTTATGAAGCTTAAGCCAACTTGCCCATTGATAATATAGGTACCAAACTTTCAAAACATTATTATTTTCATTCTTGATATCTTTTAGTGTTATACCATAGTTGTCTACATACATATGAATGACAATATCTACAGCTACCCAGATAAGCTCAAGAACGCGAAATGTTGCTTGGTAATTAACAACATTCTGAAGCTTTTCCAAGAATTTCGTGTCAAGTGTAGATGCTAATTCAAATAATCTATAACCAGAGAAAGCGACGATTAAAGCACTACACATATCCTTGCTTATATGCCACTGACCAAGGATAGGATTTAGTTTTAATCGATTATTGGAATAATCTGTAAGTCTGCGAAAGATAGCTTCATCACATGCAATGTCTAACGAGTCTTCTTGATTCAAATTTAGATCTTCTATATACATTTTGCAAGTTCTATGAACTGCAAGATTGCTGTTTGGAGCAGGTCCAGCTTCTAAAATAACGACATTTGGTGGAGAAGTCTTGCATCTGCTTCCCACTGCTTCTTTAAGTGCAATGTTTATTTCATCTATAATAAACTCCATCAGATATTCTGCCATTAACCATCTAAAGATTTGAGTAAGATTTTTCATTCACTTTTCTACAAATAGATTTTTTCTACACAGTTCAACATCACTAGCTAATGGTGCTATATTAATATTAGACATTTCAAACTGGAACACCATACATAGAGTTGCATGGGCTGTATCCCATGTATTGTCATACAGATTTCCGGCTCTGAATGTTTTTTCTTTAAAGTTGATATTGTCTATTACAGCCAAGTTCCAAATATTTGGACCTAACTTTAGTTTTTTTTGCGTATTTGCTTCTTTCATTCATTGTTTTCTAACTTTTATTTTGTAATCTTTAAAATATGCTACCACATTTGCAGCACAAAGAACACCACGCAAGTATGTCGTAAGCTTTGGTCATTTACAGAAAGATTCAATTACTTGTGGAAGCCAAAATTTCCAGCCTTTAAATGTAGTTGTTAAAATTATAGAAGACAAGAATACTGTGCTTTTCACTATTTCGCTTTCGTCAAATTTAGTTATAGTGCTTTTGCATTCTTTTTGTTTTTGTCTAACAATTTCATATTTTTGAAATAGCAAAGTATGAATTAAACTATCAAAAAGGCTTGTTAAGCATTTTGGTATTGCTTCATAATACTGCTGCAAAGAATCGGGACTTTCTAATGTTGACTTATAAGGTGCTAAGCTGGTGCGTGATTTTAAAACTTTAAGGGCAAGTGATTTTCCAAATTCTTCATATTTTTTGGGTTTTTGTATAAGTTGTTGTTTGGAAAAATCAATTTTTTTAATTTTGAGAATCGTATTAACGACAAACAAGCTGGGTAATTTGCTAGATGATGCAGAAGACGAATCCAGATTAAAATTTTCTATGCATGGAATGAGGTCTTGAAGTAAATTCTTTTTTATTATATCATTTTCTGAGTATGCTACTATTTTAATTAGCTTTGCAAAATGGAGAAGCGTAGTTTCGGTATCATCTAAATGCATTGCAGTGCATCCCGGGTCTGCTTTATCTGTACCCATACGTACATGCAAATGCCCTTCATTCTTTTCATAACACAACACACATAACAAACTCCTCGTGAATTACAGGTATTTTCTGTGCAGGAGCTTTTATTAATAGCTGGGCAGAGAACCATTCCACGACAAGGTACTTGTAGTTTTTGATTGTATACAATTCATGTATGTTCTATACAGCTTGTTCCACAACTAAAGAAAAACTTCTTTTTTTTGCAGAAAAAACAAATATAGCAATTGATTTCACTTTTTTTAGTCGAGTGTTCGTCTTTTAAATTTTTGCTATACACAGTATTTTGATCATAATTAAAATGTCTTGAACATACACCAAGACGATGAAGTTCTTTATTAACATCATTAACAGCATCTTCGTCAATTTCCCAGACACTGATTAATTCTCGCAATCCCTTAGCAGATTCTCTATTACAGCGTCGTATTTCTCCATGATTATTATCGATTATGATGCATAGTGTAGTTTGTTTTGTCATAATAGCGGGAATCTCTTCAGTATATTCATCGCCAGTTTCTTCATTACTTATTTCTTGCAAAATTGGTATGTCTTCCGCACTAAATTCTGCTGAAGCTAGAGTATACTCGTATAGGCTTTGCTCTAAGTCGAACACAGGATCATTGTCGTGTTCTTTTTCATTATCTGATGAAATCATGTCCTCAACATTTATTAAATCCTCTTGTAATTCATCTTGGCTATAGTCGAGCGGCAAGAATTCTTGTGAAGATTGTGAAGAATTATCTATTTTATTTGATAGTGGTATTTTTTAATTGTTATTTTAATAGTTTTTTTTGTTAGTTTGATTTAATTTGATGTTTGATTTACAAATTGAGATGAAATAAGGACTTTTTATATTTTTTTTTTGTTCTAACACAAATCCTGACTGACATCCAAAATAACATCCAAAATCCTGACATCCAGAATGATATCCAAAATCCCGACAATACTAAAATTCTAACACCCAATTCAGACAACTAAAATCCTGATATTACCAAAATCTTGAAATACGGTATTTTAACTTGTTGGGATTTTGGATATTATTTTGGATACCATTTTGATGTCGGGATTTTGTGGTGGAACCTTTTTTTTTTTTTTGAAGAATTTTTAATTTTGTAATAGAAAAAGCTAAAAAAAAAACAAAAACTTTTTTATCTCTTGGCCGAGCAAATCCAAAATATCAAGTTTTTGAGCGTGAAGGACAAATATAGTTTCAATACTTTTCAAGCATGAACTGGCATCATAAATTATTTATTTTTTAATTGTAAAATAATAATTATAATAATTCCAATATATTATATTTTGAATTAATCATAATAAATCGAATATTTTATAATTTATTGGTTATCTGGCAATTTTTACAGTATTTAAAGTATAAAACTATTTTAATATATTATTATCTATCTTATATTGATACATGACCGATTAATAACTTAAATTACAATAAAATAAAAAGGAAAAAATGAAGTAACTATAAATTATAGTGCAAGAACTTTATGTCCTATTTTCACACCATATAAAGAACTAAAAACCTTCTTTTCATTTCTAGTTTAACCGTTATCACTTTATTGTATCAAAGTTCCCTCCTTTTAATTTTTAGGTGTACCATAGCATTCTGCTAGTTTGTATATTGCACCAAAGTTCCCTCCTCTTCATTTTAGACATTATCACGAACATAGCATTCTGCTAGTTCACATATTGCACTAAAGTTCCCTCCTCTTCATTTTAGATGCACCATTACCACAAACATAGCATTCTGCTAGTTCGTATATTGCACCAAAGTTTTCTCCTCCTCATTTTAGATGCACTATTACCATGAACATAGCATTCTGCTAGTTCATATATTGCACCAAAGTTCCCATCTTTAGCTAATTCTTTATAAAAGACCACATTCTCCAAGAACTGTCAAAAAGAATTAATAGCTTCGTCAGAACTGATCTGTGATGCTTAAATTATTATTAATAATCACTAAAATCATGTTCAATTGTCTTTTTAAACACATACCCACATCGTTTTATTGATTCTTGAAGTTATTGTTCTTAAAACTTCTTTTAATACATACGAAGAATGACAGAACCAAGAAACCTTGAATACCACAAGAGTCTTGCAACCAGTAAACTACAAAATTAATATGCTTCGATTAATCTTATATTCAAATACTCTTGGGCTCAATTATTTTAGCCTATGTGTTTGTACAAAACGCTTGTAAAACATTATGGCTGGAAAATCAAAAAAGCATCTAACTAGCTCTAGTAACTTATAAAGCCAAAAAAAAACTTGTGTCAGTTGATTTTGCACAAAATGCTACCCTCAGGCTAGATTATTCTGTGTTTAACTACTTACAAGATCCATTCATGTTCATTCGCAGATTCGTAAAGCTTCACTGAAATAAGGCCGAAAATAGTGGTTCAAGGGTTTTGGTGACATAAAACCTAAAAAAAGTATTCGTATTTCGTTAATTGTTTTTATTAATACATCGCTTAATTTCACATTCAATTACTACCTTTGGGTTCAAGATTATTATCAACTACTCTTTTAACCGTTGATAAAATTCATATAGCTGATAGTAGGAGGTCACGAGAATATTATAGCCGAAAAAGATCTACGTACAACGTCTTAGTGGCCCACAAATCCAAAAAAAATCGAATATTTTATGAATTTTTACTATTAAATTTAAAATTTTTTTTTTATATATATACAAATGTAATGATGATCATCTCTGACATGTCGGCTGACTGTGTAATGTCTAAATTCCAGCTCTTTGTAATTTCATTTTCTTCTATTATAAAGCCCAAAGTGTGTGCTTGTTGTAAGATATTTATACCCAAGTTGTGATCTTTTATTTCTTCTTTTGCTAACACATTCTGATTTGTTAAAATACAGTTCAATGATCCTACTCGCAACTGGCCCTGCTTGAGCCTTCTTGTTAACGATTCTTCTAATAAACCTGGTATATTTAATCTAACTAATAACTCTGATATATAATGCTCTATATGTCTATTCCAAAGACTTTTAAGGTCTGTAATCTTTGGTGGTTTGTTATTATGTTCGCTATTGTGGATAGCATCGACATTTTCCACTTTATTAGATGAATCATTGGTTGGTGTATTCTCTCACACTGTGCTTTAGTTAAATATGAGATCATTAATCTGTATTCAAAAGTAGGTATAAGAATTGCACTGTTTATATATATGATTTGGCTTAAAGACATCTGTTTGTGCTTAAGAAGGCCTGTGATCTTGCCTACTATACATTTTGCTTTGAATATATCAAACTTTTTTTGGTTCTTGATTGACATCCAGACCCCTAAAAATCTTGTGGTTTCTTTAGAATCTTTTGCTATAATTTTGATTTTTGGATCACCCATCCATATTGTGGAATCTTTTGCATGCTTTTTTTTATCTAGTTTTAACACTATAAGTTCAGTTTTGTTCAGATTTATTTCAATATTATTTAACTTATAAAACTCTTGTGCAATGTCAATTGTTTTTTGCATGTTCTCTTGACTATTTGTCAGCCACGTTGTGTTGTCTGCATATGCTAGTACTTCTACTCTTATATCTATTTCAATTTTCTTTGAGTTCATATATGTTTCCAAGTTATGCATTTTGTAATCTAGCTTGGCGTCTTGTACCCTACAGAGCAAAGGATTATAAAAAATTCTCCAAACCAATGGAGACAATACTTCTTCTTGATCTATACCATCTCCTCTTTTATATAATCTGTACTTCCAAACTCTGTTATAACACTAAGCTGCCTATTCTTATATAATTCCATTATTATCCCAACTATTTTTACTGGAAGTTTAATTCTTTCTAGAGCTTTCTTTAATGAGACCATACTAACTGAATCGAAGGCTTTCTTTATATCTTGAAATGTGACCCAGAGTTCTTTTTTCTTTTCTACTGCTTCTTCTATTATATTGTTCATTATGTGAATAGGGGTTGATGTACTTTCTCCAGACAAGCCTGTGAAGTTTACTCCTTTTAATATACTATTTCTGTTCAAAACCTTGTCTAGTTTTACTTGAAGCATTCGTGTAAAAACTTTTCTACATGTTTCCAGTAATACTATTAGTCTTGTATTACTCAGATTATATTCCCAAGAGCTATTTTTTGGGATTAAGTATATCTGACCGGGTTTTCACTTATTTGGAATCTTGTTTTGTTCGAGAATTGCATTTAACAAAATTAATATTTTCTCAATCACTCTGGGTGGTATCTTTTTAAACAGAATATAGCAAATATTCGAAATTCCTGATGCTGTATCATTTCTCATTTTACTTAGAGCATGTGTTTATTCCTCTAGTGTAAGTGGAACTATTACTTCCTTATATATCATAGGATCAATTTCTTTTTTTGGCTTGTATTCTTCTTTCCATTCTGTTTTTATCTCTTTAAAGTTCTGATTTCTTTTTCTAAATTGGTCTTCAAAGTGAGAGATTACTTGCCGCTTTATTCCTTCTTTATTATTGATCAATTTCAGGTTGTGAACTTTGGAATTCTCCCTACCAGAACTCTGTCAATTGTAATTTTGTTATATGGCCTATTTAGCAGACTTTGAAGCATTTTCTTTTTGTTTTTTTCCATCATACTGAATTTTAATTCTATTTTTTCCTGAATTTCACCTTCTTTTTTTTTCCGCTCTTCATCACCTGCTTTCTTTCTAAGAACTTTACCCCAATTTTTTAGTTTCTCTAATTTAATTTGACTCCAAATCTCTGGTAATTGTATGATTTGTGTCTGGTGCAGCTAATTTATTTCATCAATTCTCTTATTTAAACTTTCTCTCTTATCAGAGTTGATTTTTGCAGAAGGGCTTTTCTTACTTCTTTTTTGTAAATAATATAAGAACTTAATTTCTTTGTAGATTTTTGACTTTGGAATTGACTTTTTTTTCTAAGCTTCAGTTTTCTTAACATTAACCCAAGGTATGTGTTCTAATGCTGCACTCATTATTGTGTTACTAATATTGTCTCATTCAACATTAATATCTGTAAGTGTGATATGTGAAGTTTCTGCATTTCTGTCTTGACCTTTTTTAAAGAGAATGCGCTTTACATGCACACCATATGCCTTCCAATCTTCTGATGATGCTTTGTGATACAGAAAAACTCTTTTAGTTGGTTTTTCTTGATTTCTTCTGCTAAGTTTTCCATATCCAAGTATTTTACTTAATTTCAAATCCACATATACCATTTTGTGATTACTACCTGTTATTAAATTAATGTCCTTAATTGTAGCCTTGTTAAGAAATTCTCTTATCTCTTTTCTACTCCATATATAGTCAATTCTTGAAGCTACATTATCTTTTTGCCAGGTATATTCTTTTTTATATGGATTTAAATACCTATAGGAGTCTATTATCTCTTTGTTTTTAAACTACTTAAAAAGAGTTTTTCCCATCCTTTGATTTTTGCATCCTATGTTACTGGTATCTAATCTTGTGTTATATATTGCATTAAAATCTCTGAGTATGCTTACGTATGTGTCAATCTTGTTTCTACATATTTCTTGTACTACTATACGTTGCACCTCCTTGTTGATTTTTTTATCAGCTGGTGGCAAATATGATACCCATATCTGTATAATTGCTTTTTTAAAGAAAAACTCTAACTTTAGACATATGGATTGTATTTTCGGACTATAGCTAAGTGTCTTAACCAATTCTTACTAACTAGAGCCCCTACTTCTAACCCTTTTGATTTATCTACCTCTCTTGTTGACTAAAAACTTATATATCCAAATTTCTCTATATCTAACTATTTACCCTCTTCCTTGTTTATATTAGTTTCTGCCATCCCAATAATATTCAAACTTTCTTCTTTACCTAAAGCTGCTAAATTTCTCAATTCTACCCATTTAGCTTTAGACCATTTATATTATAAAAACTTAAACTAAGTTGCTTGTAACTATTACCCTTATTACTATTATTTCTTCTGTTCAAGTCTTCACATTGTCTTTGTATTTTGGGCTCTTCTGAAGCAGAAGTGAGGATTTCTGCCATGCCCATATAATTTGATTCACCCATGGTGCCTTTCAGGAGCACATTGCAACTATCTGCTCTATTACTTTAAACTTTTGTCTCATTTCTGCAAAGATTTCTTCTAACTCATTTGCTTCTTGCCTTTCAGTTTTCTTTTCTTTATGATCAGTAATTGGCAGTCTATTTGATTCTGTTGCAAGTTCTGATTCCTAAAGTAAATTTATATTATCTATATTGACAAAAGGCTTTCTAGTATTACTTCTGGCTCATATGCTACCTCTTTCACTATTCATAGACACTCTATCAGTGTGAGCAAACTTTCTTGGGCTCTGATTTCTATTTGCTTTTGTATATGATATTTACCTTTATATATACTTCTTTTTATATATTCTTTTTTTTCTTGATTCTCTTTATTATTGAAAAGGCAATGCTCTCCATATCAGTGATTTTCATCTCATTTCATTCAGAGATTATAATAGTATGGATTTGATGATTTTGCTTTTTGTAAATTTAACATTAATGCAAAATATATAAATGCTGCTTCTCTCTGATTGCCATTTCTGTTGTCTGGTATATGTGCTATTTTTACTTTAAAATTGCTAAGTTGACGAAGTAATGTTGCTTTACATGCATTATATAGCACTCCTCTTAAAATAAGCTTGAATTCATTTCTAAGCCCCAATTCTCTTATATTAAATTTGTCATTTGTTACTCTTGCTGTTTTTTCCATTTCATAATAAATTGCCCAAGTATTTATAAAAAGGTACTTTTTTTCATTATTTTGCATCTAATTTTAACATAAGTGGCTTTACGTTCTGCTAAAATACGGCACTTAATATTTTCTAGAAACCTATATAGTTTTAGACATCTTTTTATATTTTCTATTTTTGCTGATATAGGTAGGTTCTAGATGGTTAAATTCACTTCTATATGGAGGGCCTCTTTCTTGTTATTTTTGAGATTTCCTCCTAGTATAGTTTCCTGTTTAGAGCTATTCTTATGTGCCTACATAAACTTATATATATCTTCGCTTCTCTTTAGCGCCATATCTTCTTCTTTTTTACCTTCTCTTTTATTTAATTCTTCTCTTTTTTTAACTGCACCTATCCATTCTTTCACTTCTTGTGTTGATT